TTGTCCTTTCCACTCCACCAAAAGCATCTAAATTTCCTCCTCATCTGATCACATAGAGTAGAGGGAATCTTGAAGCATGACATGGAGTAGTTGGGAACAATACTTACTACTACTTTCAGTAACGTATCATGACCTGCTTTGGATAGCAACTCCCCTTTTAATGTTTTGAATTTGGCATTGACTTTCTCCGATAAAAATTGAAAAAGGAAGAACTCTTAGACTTCTCAATTATAGAAGGAAGAACCAAATAATAATTTATATAGCCAGAATCTCTGATTTTTAACATACTTCTAATTTGATCTCTCATATCGGATTTGGTGTCTGGATTAAATAGCATGCAAGACTTATCCAGATTGATAGACTGCCCTGAGAGAGATTCAAATAACTAGAGAATATTTTTAAGCTTCATTAAGATTAGCCTGACAGAAGAAATTGGCATTATCAACAAATAATAAGTGATTAATTGCAGAGCCACCTTTACCTATAGAAACACCATTAACAGTCATTTCTTGAGCAGTTAGGTTGAGCAAACCAGAGAGACCCTCAAAGCATAGGAGAAATAGGTATGGAGATAGGGGTCTCCTTGCCTAAGACCCCTAGAAGGAGACAAATGATTGCTAGCTTCACCATTTATCCCTACAGAGAAAGAAATTGTCTGAATGCAGCTCATGATCTGTAATAACTCAAATCCGTGGATCCGAAACACTAACTGGGACCTTATTCGGACCCGAGGACACCCAAGGGTAATATGGTCATTTCAAGTCAAATATAAAGGATGAGTGTCTTTGAGTGGTTCAAATCGGACTCTATAACATTACCTTAACCATTTAAATCCATTTCGTAAGTTTTCAATGGTCATAGCTTTGGTTTCCTACAATTACCCATTCTCGGGTTGAAGGACTTTCCCGATGCTACTTAACTAAAATAGACATAACTACCAGTGTGATTATAATTTAAGTATTTCATTGACATAATTGTAAATATGATTTCGAGCCGGTCAGTTTGGACCTATGAACTACCCAATTGAGTTTAAAATAAGGAAGTTATGATCGTTTGAAGTCTAGAGTGTAAAGCAGGTGGGTGAACAGTGCAGTGCTCAAGCTCTGAACTCAGTGCTCGAACTCTGGCTAAAAAATGCTCGAGCCCTAGAGCTCGAGCTTTGACACTCCTAGGTGTATAAATATTGGTTAGAACTCCAGTGCTCGAGCTCTAAGCCCAATGCTCGAGTACTAACCCCAAAATTTGGTCATTTGCTCCTTTAAAAGCTACGGTTTAACTCTTGCATGACATTTAGGTTCTTGGACACCCTAATATGATTCAAATCATCCCAAAAACAACCATACATTCCAATACATTGATGAAATGAAAATTATACATCATAATTGATACATGAACTTAACAAAATAATTTCATTTACAACCGTTACTCAAACTACATACATATTTGTCCAAAAGGATATCATTACAAGAGAGAGGCTTCCAAGGCTATAAATGCAATATCATTACATGGAGTTAGCAAAATAATTCATTTACAAAATAGTCGTTAGCAAGATAAGCATTGATACGAAAGATACACAAATTGTCAAAACAGATTCCCTAACTACGGCTAAACTTGTGGAGGTGTATCGTCCACTACTTCTTTCTTGTGCCCTAAAAATGTTAAAATAATGGGGTGAGCACAATGGCTCAGTAAGAGATGCCTTAAACATCTACTTTGGACTCCCTTGAGTCAAATAAACAATGAACGGGAGGAATAATGAATTCGGGATCATGTTATGGGGAATGCGTAGATCACAAGCATTGTACTTCATTTCAACTAACATCTTATATACAAACAAAGTAAGACATGATATATACGCCTACGTGTTATGTTGCCACACATAAATAAATAAATATAACATAATCAACTAATAAGTTGTTCATTGTTATTTATCATGTTTATATATGTGGTGGTGTTGTTGATGAAATAATAATAGGTTGTTTATTTAAATTAATTATATGCTTATAACTTGCATAGAGTGTTTATATATGATTTATTTCATAGTTAATTGTAAAGTTTGGTACATGGTTAAATTGGAGGCATGAATGAATTGCTATAGGCATAAATAAATTGACTTATTAATTGTATGAATTGAATAAAATACATACATGGGAAGTATGGATGAATTGCTATTTAATTGTATGGATAAAAACATACTTTTGGAGGTATGAATGAGTTGCTAAGATATAAACAGATTGTCATTTAATAGGTATGGTTGATTTGTCAAAGTATAAATGTATTACTTGTAGAGGTATAGATGAGTTGCTATAGTATAAATAAACATACTTCTAGAGGCATGGTTGATTTGCTAAAACATAAATAAATATTTGTGGAGGCATGGATGAGTTGCCAAATTATAAATAAATTTCTAGGCAAGTTAGATGATAAAATATATATTTATGGATATTATGTTTATAAGTTGGAGGTGATAAATATTCTTATATTAGATTAAACTAATGTTTAAAGGATAATATATTATTTTATAATATTAATAAAATAATATTAGTAAAGGCATGAATGAGTTGTCAAAGCATGGATCTTTGCTATGTGATCTTTATAAATAAAATCATACATTGGTGGATATTAGGATTTGGATTGAAGGAAAATATTCCTTAGATTATTGTTTATTATTTAAATGGTTAAATAACTGTTTAAAAATGAAATTTAGGTTTAAATAAGTTTTCTTTTAAAAGGGGAATGTACTTAATGGTTAGTTTAAATATGGAGGTAGTTTTATCATTATTTATGGTCTTGGATTTCAAGAAATATATTAATGAATTTTTTATATATTTATATATATAATATATATGTATCATCTTATATTAAAGGTTAAAACTTTAATTAGGATGATTTTGGTTAAAAATGTTTTATTTATCGGTTTTTAGAGGTTTGGTAGAGGGAACTTGTTCATGGGTCTAACTCACGATTTATTTTTTAGGTTATTAGAATTTTCAGTCTCGAGGTTGAGGATCCGTAGTTAGGAGATTGTCATTCATCTACTCATCTTGTTTATTTTTAAGTAATATTGTTATTTCTGTTAGATGTTATGTATAAACTGGTGGATTTATAGTTTATGGTTTAGAGGTCCTTGACTTATAGGATTCCCGAGTTATATTTTATAATTTTAAATTCATGAAATTTATTTTTGTAAAGGGGGTTTTATTTTGTTAATAGAATTTCATTCAGCGATTTATTTATTCTTTTTATTCTTCTTGTATTATGTGTTCGTTTATTTCCATATTGTTTTTGATATCCCCGTATTTTCGAGTGTGGGCCTGGCCATCTTACACTCGAAAATTCGGGGGTATTACATAACCTAACTCTAATTTTCAAAAATTTCAAGCGCATGCAAAATTGGTGCCAAATAAAAGCCCTTGATGAGTACTTCAACTTTGCCTTCTTGCTCTAAGCCTAAATCACACTCTAAAACTCTCAAATCCAAGCTCAAAATTTGTAAGTATGTTAATTTAGAGATAGAAAAAGCCTTGGCCGAAGTTGGGGAGAGAGGAAATGATGTTTGCCAAAGCCAAAATCTGAAAATCACTGTCCTCCACTCATTTTGGTCAAGGTGGCCTTACCTCCTACACTAGAATTCCCTAAATGACCTTCAATGCACACATTAATTGTCCACATGCCACAAAATATCCCATACACATATATTGTCATAAGCCAAAATGAAATAATAATGTAAATGAAAAACCGAAAAAAATTCCCGAGCACAGAAATTCGGTCTCAACCACGAAAACCCAAAAATAACCCTAATAATTCAAAAATGGTGAAAATGATCAAAATACATTTTTAAGAGTCCTAAACTTATAGAAATGTCCAAAATGATCCCTAGGACCCATGTGGCATGCAGAATGATACAAAAAAAAATAATATATAAATAAATTAAAATACTGCAAAATCTGAAAAAATTCTGGGACATTACTTGATAAGTAACCCATCTTTCATGCAACCTCATACGTATCATATTCTCTAAAGACATCCATTCTATTCTCTATCGGTCCACTTTATAGCCATTTTGGGCTCGAAAATATAGATCTGCTACTCCATTGGACTAGTTGAAAAGTGGGGCAACATTTTTGGGTCTCTAAATGGGTCACCAAAAATAGCGACCCTGCTGTAGGCCCGACTGGTTTTTGTTTCTAATTGTGGCCCAACTTCTATAACTTAGCTGAGACTACTATTTTGAAGGGCTTGTTTGACTGAAATATTACCCAAAAATAAGGTTTTTGGGTTATTTTGGTCCTTTTTTTTTTTTTTTTTTTTTTTTCCCCCTCAACATAATTGAACCAAAGATCCATTAAGGCACTGTTTGGCTGACACAAACAGTGCCTTAAAGGATTTTTTGGATACAAACAATGCCTTAAAGTCTTTTTTGGACACAAACAGTGCTTTAAAGGTTTTTTTGAACAAAAAAAAGTTTAAAAATTTGAAAAAAAATGATTATTTTCCTTTTTAAAATTTTCAATATTCCGATTGACATTATAGACATTTTAGTTTTTTGAATTTTTTTTTTCCCTAACAAATTGAAATTTATTTTAAAATGTGATTTTTTTATTTTTTTAAATGCGCCTTTTTTTCACCTCTATAAATTAATGAATCAAATGATATTAAATATTGTATTGTTTACAATATTTCATAAAACATTGCATAAACTTCATAACAATTTAACAATAAATAAATGCAATATAAATTAAACATTTTCTTCACCAAAGCGGTTCCATAAGTTTTTAATTAAATCTTTTCTCAACTATGTATTTGTCTCTTTGTTGCGAATTTGGACTCGACGAGAGTAGATGTGTACCGTTAATACCGATGTATTTTGAATTAAAGTGGGAATCGAGATTGTCTCCTTTAGTGGCAGAGTTCATTTTTTAACATTGGCATGACGCTCATCTTCAATGATCATGTTGTGTAGGATGATGTATGTTTTCATTATAAGGCACAAGTTCTATTTATTCTAAAAATGCACTGGTGCTTGCGTTATTGCCCACTTGATCTGCTAAACTCCAAAAGCTTGTTCCACATCTTTCCTTGTAGGCCTCTTGTCTCTGAGCAAAAAGTTCTTCTTTCGCTAGAGTTGGGTGCAGGATGGTCTGTATCAAAGTTGTCCACTTAGGGTATATACCATCAGATAGGTAATACCCCATTCTATGGTAATGGCCATTCATAACGAAATTAACCGGAGGCATTTGGCCAGTGACGATATTGTCGAATACCAGAGAATGATCCAGCACATTAATATCATTGTGTGAACCTGACATTCAAAGAATGCATGCCAAATCTAAAAATCTTTTGAGGTAACCACCACCAATATGAGCGTAGGCGTATGGAAGCGTCCGTTGTACGTGCCATGCCACGGCACCAGACAATTCTTCCACTTTCAGTGCATTTAAAGCATACAGGGGAATCCTTTCTCCTCCCGTTTTCAAAGTAGTCGTGCTATGTTAGCTTCGTTGGGTGGGCGCATATACCCTTCCCCATACACACCAACAACACCCTTACAAAATGTCATTATGGTTTCAATGGCAGTCCTCTTGCCGATTTTAATATACTCATCACAATGATTAGCTGCACAACCATATGCGAGTATATGTATTGCAGTTGTCATTTTCTGTATAGAAGATCCCAAACAACCTGTTGCATCCCTTTTTTTGGACGAAATAGTCGTCATAAGCTTTAACATCATCCAGGATACGATGAAATAGTTTTCGTCGCATCCTGAATCGTCTATGAAAGTACTCCGGTGGATATGTGCAATTCTCACCAAAGTTGACGGTGGCTTCCCTATTGATCACGATGAATGTACCGCCTCTTACGCGATTTAAATACTTGCTCTACTATCTCTGGGTTCACTGAATTCAAAATCGAACTAAAGGCATCTTGATTATGTTAAACCAACACATCAAGAATTAGAGCGTGACAAAGGAAAAAAAAGTGATGAGGAAGCCATCGGAATTTTGAGATTGAAGAAGATGTGGATTAATATTTTGCTAGAATGATAAAGATGAATGTAATGATGATGAGATAAAAAAATGATTGTTTATATAAGATGAAAAATATAACCGTTAGGAAAAAGTTAAAAAAAAAAATTATTAAAAATTTAAAAAAATTAAAATATTAATATTTTCTTATAGCAAAAACGCACCATTGGAGTACATACGATAACTAAAATTTGGAGACTCCAAAATACTGATATGACTCTTGGAAATCTTGAGGTGACTCTTAAAAAATGCTGACGTGGCAAATTCGGAGTGCCTAATTTTAGAGATGCTGTTGGAGTTGCTTTAAGCCTTGGCCATATCCACTTTCAAGGCAAAATATACAGTTTTACCCTTCTTCTTAGATTTCAAATCATGATTGAGACTCATGGGCTAAGATAATAATATTGCCATGAATAAGTCTTCCTGCGATAAAGGCATTTTGGTTAGGGTTGATGAGCGAATTAGGGAGGGGTTTAAATTTGTTAGTCAGTGTTTTTGATTTTTTTTTTTTAATACAAAACATTGCATAAAGAGAGAGGTTTGAACTGGGATATCTTGGTTGGGTATTGAACTTTTGGAATCAAAGCTATATTAGTATGGTTCAGGTTAGTGGGCACATGACAAGTTTGAAGGAAGGAGTTAAATCACCTTTTGTAGAATCCCGATTAACTTGAAAAAATAATGGGGTAAACCAATCAAGTGTTGGAGATTTAAAGGCTCCCATGCCCTTAACTGCTTGAAAAAGCTCTCTTTCACTACCAGCTTTGAGAAGAATTTAATTCATTTCTGCAGTGATCATGGGGGAGATGCAATGTCAAAAAATTTCGTTAGAGGGAATTACGACAGTAGACATATAGAGATCACTGAAATAGTTTTCAGTAATTAGTCTAATCTCCTCTGGAGACTCGTTTCACTATCCTGATTGATTCTCCAAACCTAAGATTGTTAGGGTTTCACACACACAATTGGCAAATATAACAGATAAAAAAAATCACACACAAACAAAAACGAGATTTACGTGGTTTGGTAAATTGCCTAGTCCACGGGCGAAGAATGACTAACTTTACTTCAAAAACTTAATTACACACTATTCTCTCTCTCACAATCTCAATTCTCTTTTTCTCTCTACAATTTTCTCTCTATCCAATGCACACAAATAAATCAAATAAAATAAATAATTAACCATTTAATTTAAATTAAATCTAAATTAAACTAATTAATTAAACATTAAATAATTAAACACATAAATTCTTATAGTTGAATAGCACCACATCAATTAAATCCTATGCACACAAATAAAACAAATAAAATAAATAATTAACCAATTAATTTAAATTAAATCTAAATTAAAAAGCCTTTAAAAAAAATTTAGGGTATTACATAAACTCTTTCCCCCTTTTTGTCACAAGGAAAAAATATCCTAGAAGTAGGAAGAAACCAAGCATATAAATCTTGTAAATTAAAACCAATGAGAATGTAAACTCCACAAGATTATATGTATTAACAGAAATAACTAAGATCAATTCAATGAAGTTCCACAAACTTAGTAAGTGTAGTAAAATCACCACCAAGTTCTTAAAACATATGATCTGTCAATTGTAAAGATTTCAGATAATAAATCAATGATATCACATATCCTTAGAAATCAAACAATCCACATGTACAAAAGACATTTTTTTTTAATCTCTCTTTGTGCTCCATTTTTCTTTTTGCACATTGGCGGCTTTCATGCTTATGGGCAGCCAGCTCTTTCCCTTATTCCCATTTGTTTGGAGTCAAGGTAGCTTTCAGACAAATCCCAAAAGTAGCCTTTTTTATCTCACTTTTTTCAAAACAACAAATATTTTTCTTTCTTTTTCAAAAACTTTTTATTCCAAACTGTTTTTCAAATTTCTTTTCTTTTCACTCTTTTAGTTTAAAACACATAAATCAAGTTTAAATCCCAAGACAATGATCAATCATATCAACATTATCTTTGAACAAAACAATGATATCTCAAGTAAATGTACTATCAATGATTCATTTACAATACAAAATAAGTAAGCAAAATCAATTTCACCAATTGATAGCCATTGTATGCTCTCCACAGATAATTCATGTGTCATTAAATTCCTTGTGTTCAACATACTCAATCAATATGGTTTGCTTAACTTCCCAAAAACATAATCTAGACTCTCAAGATATGCATGAAAATCCTTTCTAGATTATGTCTTTGCAATTCATCTAATCAAGACAATAGACACCAATAGATTTCCTAAAATGAGAAAACTTAGGAGCATCTAATAGTTTTAGTGAGAATATCAGCCAAATTCTAATCAGTATGCACTTTTTCCAAAGACACGACATTTTGTTCAACAAGTTTCCTAAGAAAATGATGTCGAATATCATTATGCTTAGTCTTAGAATGCAAAACTGGATTCTTTGAAATATTAATTATACTAGTATTATTACAAAAGATAGTAATAATACCTTGATCAACTCCATAATCCAGAAGTATCTGTTTCATCCAAAACAATTGTGTGCAACAATTTCCAGCAACAATGTATTTAGCTTCACAAGATGATAAAGATATGCAATTTTGCTTCTTATTATACCATAAAACAAGATTAGTACCAACATAGAAACAACCACATGAAGTACTCTTTCTATCATCCTTGTTATCAGCCCAATCAACATCAGTATAGCCTGCAATCTCAGAATTAGATTCAGAAGAATAACGCAATCCATAATTCAATGTACTATTGACATAACGAATAATGCGCTTGACTGTAAGAATATGTTGTTCTCTAGGATCAGCTTGATACTTAGCACAAACACCTACACTAAATGAAATATCTGGCCTAGTTGCTGCCAAATACAATAAGCTACCAATTATACTCCTATAAAAGAAATGATCAACCTTGTTAGGATCAGAGTCTTTATCCAATTTGGATGAAGTACTAATAAGAGTTTGAACATGCTTTGAATCTTTCATACCAAATTTCTTAACTAGCTCCTTTACATATTTTGATTGAGCTATGAAAATGCCATTATTAAGTTTCACTTGGAGACCTAGAAAGAAAGTCAATTCACTGACCATGCTCATTTCAAAAGTATTACTCATATCTTTAGAAAAATTATGAACAAGGTTATCACATGTAGCACCAAAAACAATATCATCCACATATATTTGAGCAACAAGAAAAACTTTTCCTTTTCTGAAAATAAACAATGTTTTATCTGCTCGTCCTCTTCTAAAGCCCTTGTGCATTAAATAAAAAGTTAACTTCTCATACCATGCTCTAGGTGCTTGCTTTAAACCATAAAGAGTCTTTTTAAGATAAAGCACAAAATCAGGATTATGTGGATCAATGAAACATTTTGGCTGTACTACGTAAACTTCTTCCTATAAAATACCATTCAGAAAAGCACTTTTCACATCCATTTGAAACAATTCGAATTTAAAGTGACATGCAAGAGCAAAAAGAAGTTGAATAGACTCAAGTCTAGCAACAGGTGCAAAAGTCTCATCAAAATCAATTCCTTCAACTTGAGTGTATCCTTAGGCAACTAATCTAGCTTTATTTCTAATCATAAGACCATGTTTATCAAGTTTATTTTTAAAGATCCATTTAGTCCCTATGATATTAACATCACTAGGTCGAGGCATTAATTCTCAAACATCATTCTTCACAAATTGAAGTAATTCTTCTTCCATAGCTGTAAGCCAATCAGAATTTTGAAGAGCTTCATCAACATTCTTAAATTCAAACTTAGCCATGTGGCATGAATGTCATATGTCATCTACAATGCATGAATGTCCTGTATGATCACGGATTATACTCCTAGTACCATGCTGATCCCACGGACCTATCACTTTGTTAACTGGATAACTTAATCGAACTCTAGAACTACTAGATGTGGGAATATCTAAAGATGGTACAAGAATTCTTATAGGTTCATCATGGGTGGCATCTAATTCCTCATTCTCATCTTCTTCAACCTCTTCACCTTTTCCACCTAAATCCTTAACTCTTTCTTTTTCATGAATTGTAGTTTCTTTTCTTTCTCCTGTAATTTTAAAATTAGTTTCTTCTTCATCAAGTTGAGAAGAGGTTATCTTAAATTTTTTATCATTAAATACAACATTTATAGACTCTATGACCACTTTGGTCCTAAGATTAAAAACCCTATAAGCCCGACTTGTTTGTGAATAACCCAAAAACACACCTTCATTACTTCTAGAGTCAAATTTTCTTAAGTGCTCCCTATCTCTAAGGATATAACATTTACTTCCAAAGAATCTGAAGTATTTAATAATGGGCTTTCTATCATACTATAATTCATATGAAGTTTTTTTAGTTCCAGGCCTAAGATAAACTCTATTTAGGATATGACAAGCAGTACATACTGATCCAGCCCAAAAATGACTTGCAATTTTATTTTGATGAAGCATAGTACGTGCCATTCCTGCAATTGTCCTATTTTTCCTTTCCATTACACCATTCTGTTGTGGTATTTTAGGTGCTAAAAATTCATGCTTAATGCCATTCTTATCATAATATTCAATAAACTCCTTAGGTTTGAATTCACCTCCATTGTCGCTCCTAATCCGATTAATTCAATATCCCTTCTCATTTTGAATAAGTTGGCAAATAGACCTGAAATTCACAAAAGTATCAAATTTTTCTCTCAAATATGTAACAAAAGTAAATCTAGAAAAATCATCAACCATAACAAGTATATATCTTTTTCCTCCAATGCTATCAAGTGTTATGCAACCCATCAAATCCATATGAATCAATTCCAAAGCTCAAGAAGTAACTTAATGAATAAGTTTCTTATGTGACACTTTAGTTTGTTTTCCTAATTGACATGGACCACATATTTCATTCTTAGGCATTTTCAATTTAGGCAAACCTCGAACAAGATCATTGTTAGACAAATTCACTAAATTATTAAAATTCACATGTCCAAGTCATTTATGCCATAAAACTGCCTCATCAGTAACTGCAGAAAAACACATCAGTGAAGGTTCTGAAAATACAACATAACAATTATCAGAAGTTCTAGTTCTTTTCAAGATACATTCACCTTTTTCATTAGTTACAAATCACCCTTATTGAGTAAAATTGACTTGAAACTTCTCATCACAGATTTGACTAATACTCGCCAAACCTTTAACATATAGAACATTTTTTAACTCCTCAATTCCTGAAAATTTGATCTTACATTTACCACTTACATTAGATACATTACCATCACCAAAAGTAATGGTTCCAACTATGCATTTCTTAAAAGTGGTAAACAATATTCTATCCCATATTATATGCCTAGAGCAACCACTATCAAAGTACCAACCACATGGACCAAGTGCTCTAAGTACTGTGTGCATAGCAAGGCATTTAAAATTCTCTTTCTTTACCCAAACAATTTTAAATTCATTATGCAATGATTTCCCTATTGTTCTAGGCAAATTGTCACAAGGCTCAACAGTTTTAATCCTCTTCTTCCTCAATTTTGAACTCTCTAGATTTTTCAATTTCTTTCCTAGTTCAAATTTTCTTTTCTGACACTTATACTTAATATGCCATTTTCCACCACAAAAATGACATGTTGAAATAAGTTTAGGAGAATTAGAAATAACATAAGGTTTTGTTTCAACTTTCACAAAAACATCTTTAGATTTCTAAAAATACAAATCATTTGAAGTTAATGGCAAATCTTTGTTACTCCTAACATTCTCAACCACTTCTTTCAACTTATCAATTTTGCAAGTGTCAATATCAACTTCCTGAAAAGGCTGTTTTGATTTAGCAAATTTACTACTCAATTTATCAATTTTAAGTTCTAGCTTTATTAAACAAATTTACCTTCTTAAGCTCCTTTTCCAGAAAATCAATTTTATGAAGAAGATTCAAATTCTTATGACCAATTTTTTCCAAATTTTTATTAAAGACAAAAACTTCTAACTTATAAATATCTCTATCAAGTTTCGCAAGATTCATTTTCTCTAACAAATTTTCAAAATCCTTTTAAAACTTGGACCACTCAATTTGCATGCTTGTGACAGAATCAAAAACAGGAGGTAAAGGCAACACATCAATAGATGAATTTTTAGACATGATGTAAAAATCAACAATTAATCAATAACTGTGATCAACTCAGTATATCAAGTTACCCACTTTGATACCAAATTGTGAAAATAGTGTTAAGCGGGGTGCGGAAACAGTTAGTTCATTTTAATTATGATTAACTTCTTTAATGACTTAGATTTGATTATTAGGTCAACTTGCTCAATTTATGATTGGTTAAATTATATGATCAATTTAAACATCCACAATCACAAATATAAATACTATAAAGTAAAGCAAGTAAAAGTTTATAGAGATTGCACCAGGATTTTTAGCGAGGAAACCCAGTTGAAAAACATGGGAAAAATCTCGTGGACTGTTCAGTCCAAAGTAAACTGATCCACTATATTTAAAATAAAGCACACCGAACTTTGACTCTAACTCACACCCTATCGTTCTACTAAACACCAATTGCTGACAATCCTCTGGCTTCGCGACTCCCCGTCCAACAACAACTTGACTTCAAGCTTATGCTTGATATTTGTAGAAGAGTAGCAGGTAGATCAGACAACACTCCTCGAATGCTCCAATCCTTTCAAAGTGTGATCGCTTTTACTTCTGTTCTTTAAGATCTGAACTCGATGTAGAAGAATTAAATCCCTTTCTTCATACAAAATATATGAATCTTCAATATAGCTCCAATTCCGATGAGATAGAGAATAACACCAATAAATCACTCATGAATATATGTGTATGCTCTCATAAATAAATTCAGAATAATCAGATTTGATTTTCTAAATTCTCTCTCTAAAAGACTTTCTCAAAGTATAGAATTGATTTTCCCTAAAGCCGTAAAATAAACCTATGTATATGACAAGGTTTATATATAGTTTTGAAAGTCCTAATCCCTTAGAAAATATGAAAAATTTCGTGTATAGGACTTGAAAAGAAGTTGGGATCAAAAAGAAAACATTCAGAAGAAGGAAACTGAAATTGGAATTGTACCAAGACTTTTTTAACCAGTTCAGAGGGGCTGAACTAGTTCAAGATTGGCAGAGTGTATTCAAAGCCAATCTTGAGCATCTTGAACTGGTTAAGAGGGGCTAAACCAGTTCAAGTTTGGCAGACTTGATTTCCTCGGACCCTTCAGCCTAAAATCATTCTACGGTAAGTTCTGAACAAAATGGAAAGTGTAGAATGTGTCCAACACTGTTTAGAATCCTTCCTAATGTGTTGTTCTTATCTTTTTCTTCAAAAGATCTTCAATCAGGGTAAGTTTGAACAACTTCCCAGTTCTGTAGTTGCTGTCGAACTTGATAACTTGCAGACCAAGTAACTTGAATTACAACTCGACATGGACTTATTTTGATCATGAAATTAGCCAATTACAAAATATATATCATACACTTTGCGCACTCTTTTCTCACCATTTTATTCAAAACGCATCTATATGGTTAGGGATGTCCATGCACGCACAAGTATCAGTAACTTTTTCTCCAGATCGGGACGCCACAATAAATGGCATAGACAAATATCAAATTGGTGCAAACTTACAGTCCGAACACTTGGCCCAATTTCCAACTCCTATTAGTTTGAACACTACAAATTTTTTTTAGCTTTAGAAGCAAAGAGTCCTCACACCACTCCATGTATTCCTGCACCTAGTGTGTGCATTCTCCATTATCAAAGCTTTAAATTTCTGCATTTGAACCACAAAATCAATTGAACTTTGAAGTTTTTCAAACACATCACAAAGACTCAAAAACAAAGATTACAACTCAATTATATTTTTGAACGCCAAATATTCCAACACAGTCTAGTTTTTAACGATAGATTTTCTAAATATAGTAGGAAAAAAAGAGAAGATAGTAGACACAGGCAAAGTCTGCTCCAACATTTCACCAACAGTCTCCTATCCAAACGATTGGTGCGTTGTCAACAAAAAGTGGGGAATCAATCTTTGACCTGGCATCCATCAACACCTTTCTTTCAATAAGCACACCATCTCCTTGTGGGATAGAGAATA